TTTCCCGAGTACCCCCCCCCCCCCCCCTCTCGCACACCGATAACAGTCAATCGCAGAACAAGCTGAACCGCAAGCTCCTCAGACACATCGTGAGGAAGGTACTGTCCGGCGTAAGCATCATTCTCCAGGCGGTGCACATACGCTTCGAGCTGCCGGCGGGGGGGCTGGACGGCGCGGCTCCCGTGAAGAACTCTGCTGGGGTCGGGGGAGGCGGTGCTTGCGACGCCGTGGGGGTGATGCTGCCCAGCTTGACGGTAAGGACGGGGTTGCACTCCCCTACCGCTGTATATATATATATATTTTTTTTTTATTGGGAAAATACAGAACGCACGGCCACTTCAGAACCTTTTGTTTTGGCCGTGGCTCGTTTCTTGTTTTTGTCTATGGGGTACTGCTGTACCGCCACCGTCACTATATAGGATTTAGTGTGGGATCCTTGGCTGAGCACGTGTTCTTACGGCCGAGTTTTTTTTTAGGCTCGAGTTCTTGTGCTAAGTCCTGACGTGGTGGGCATCCTGTAGTCATACAGCACGGAGAGACTAAGACTACTCGTTCGACGTAAGTATATACATGTAACCACAGCAGTGGAATTTTTTTTTTTTTTTTCGGGTGCGCCGATGCGTGCTGCGTTGTCGATCTTCAAGCTGACTTATGTATTTTCTAGTTTTCCACTTGCAAGTGGTGGAATTCAGTCCAAATTCCTAGCCGCGGCCTGGTGTTTTTAACATCTCTCGAGAACGCGGGGTGTGTGAAATCCTTTCTGTGCGACTGTGGTTATACCTCGAAAGGGTTTTCTTTCTGTGTTTTTATACGTATACTTCGAAGTATATATTCTAAAAAGCAAGCGAAATACAGACGAAATCATGTCAGCAAGACACGAGAGCGAAATACCGACGTGTTTCTGCTATACCCCGAGCACGTGTTTATTTTTCGGCCGCAAACGCCGCACCACTACTTGCTGCTGTTCCGGCCACCACCGAAAAGGTACGCACGTGCAAGACGGACCACCCCGCCTTCACCAAGTTCGCGGCGCAAACGCCGCTGGAACGAGTCGCAAACCCCAAGGGCGTCCAGCAGGGGGGAGCAGACGGGAGAGGGTCCCCGCAGAGAGAGTCGGCCACCACCATGGCCAGGCGGGAGCAGGACGCCTTGCAGGGAGACAGAAAGAACTTCATGATCGTCAGGAAACGCGCGACGGCGGCCAACCTCCAGGTGTACTGCGACTACGGTGTGGATAGGTGAGGCCCAGCAGGAAGGCGTGGGGGGGGGGGGGGGGGGGGG